CTGCACTTGCACCACAGCCTCGTACAAGAGCCCGAACAGCCTGCTCTTCGTCGGCTTCTCCGGCTCCTCGCCCAACACGAGTGGCCGCGACGTCACCTCGTCCCGCGGATTGCGCTCCTGCCTCCGCCTGCCTAAATCAAGTCCCTCAACCGAGTACACACAACGAAGAAAGTCCGACAATTTTATTTAGCATAGTTTTATCTATTGTAATAGAGGACCCAATTCAACAACAACTAATTTCAATATTGCCCAATCACTACTAAATGGGAACACGCTGTGGAAAGGTTAAAGAGCTAGACTTTGGATTGCTGGTTGCGCAAGCTGGTCGCGCATAACGTAGAGTGCGTTGCGTCGAGACCTGGCACTCGTTCGTCCATGTTGCAGTGACACTGTGTCGATCTCGCGCTCGCCGGCGCCACCCACCCGCCACACTCAACTTGGCGGCCACACTAGAGTTCACGAGCGACGCCGGAGTACGCTTCGATGGACCGACCTTCTTTTTTATCGTTCGCTGGAAGGTTCATGCCAGCTGAGAGAATGGGTGCGAGACTCTCCTCTCGCAGGTTGTGGAATTATCATGGATACATCTTTTGCTGGACCGATACCCATGGGGTTCGCACGTCGTGGGATCACTCCATGGCGACTATCGGCGTAGTTTGCTCGTACATAAACTACCGGTAGTCCATCATCGTGTCGACCTAAACCCCTTGTCGTGAGAACCAACTTGTCCTTCTTCTCTGTATGATGCAGTCGCACGGAGCTGTCGCGCTGTAATTTGGAGATTCTCCACCTTGAAGCACGGTCCGGGTGGTGTTCGTGGTGACGTCGCTTCAGGATATGTGCCCATCGTGAGCGGGCCGCTACTTCAAGTGTGTCGTACAACCAGATCTTGGAGCACACAAACGTGATGGGCAGGAAAGGCTCCTGTGGCATCCTGCAACACCCATAAAGCCGACCAGTCTAAGATACGTGGACACTCCTGGCGTCAGCGTCCAGGTCGATCCTCTTCGAAATACTTCTGGCGTCGACTTTGTTTGGCCTGTTTATGCTTGTACGCGCTAGGGGCACAATCGACCCAGCTGTGTGCGTTACGGGTTGAAGTTGGTGTCGGTTACAAAAAAGAAAGGACGGCAACGTGGCGATCTTCTTGCGGTTTGTATACGACGCGCGCGAAATAGCCAGCGCAAGCGACTGTCGCAGGCGAACATGGCTTGAAGATTCGCAGGTCTTCCTTGCTTCTTGGCCCAAGTCCTCGGCAGGCACCAGTCGTTCCGGGTCATATTCTAGCGAAACTTCGCACGCCGACTCCATTCATTTTCCTTTTTGCCTCGAGCCCGCACTTTCCTCACACAATGGATTGGCAAGCGTCGTCGCTCATCACGATCGACGTCGGTGGCACGACCCACACGCTCACGTGGGGCGAATTCACCGCGTCGGTCGCCGAGGCCCAAACCGCCACCACTCATGGCGCGTCCCTCGACCTCTTCTGGCTCCTCTTTGGCGGCGTCCTCGTCTTCCTCATGATGCTGGGCCTCGCGCTCCTCGAAATCGGCTGCGTGCACAAGAAGAACACCAAGCACATCATCATTCGCATCCTCGGCGACTGCTGCATCACGGGCTTGACGTTCTATGCGGTCGGGTACAGCTTTGCGTTCATGCACGGCAATGGCTTTATCGGCACGACGGGCTTCTTCATGCAAGGCGCTGCGTTCACGGGTGCATCGGCGACGCAGGCGTTCCGCGGCCACCACTACGCCGACTGGTTCTTCCAGTGGGCGATCGCGTCCGTGGCCGTCAACATTTGCCACGGCGCGGTCGCCGAGCGCATCTCGCTGCCGGCGTACTCTGTCTACTCGTTCTGCGCGAGTCTTTTCATCTACCCGGTCTGCGCGCACTGGGCGTGGGCCGAGACGGGCTGGGCGAGCATGCTCAACGAAGGCAACCTCCTCTTTGGCATTGGTGTCATGGACTTTGCCGGCACTGGTTGTCTGCACATGTTTGCGGGGACGTCGGCGCTCGTTGGGTGCCTCTTGTTGGGTCCACGCCTCGGCAAGTTTACGGCCGAGGGCCACGGCCACCTCCCGTCGCAGTCGGTGCTGCTGCAATTCATGGGCACGATGATTCTCTGGTTTGGCTGGTACGGCTTCAACTGCGTCTCGACGCTGAGTCTCGAGGGCACGAAGGGCGACGTCATGGCCAAGGTCGCGGTCAACCTCACGCTCTCGGCGTGCACGGCCGGCCTCGTCACGTCCATCTTGTACAAAGTGCTGGTCGCGGGCCACTTTGACATTTCGCAGGCCAACAACGGCATCCTCGCAGGCTGCGTGGCTGTCACGGGGTCGTGCCCCGTGATTGAGCCCGAGGCTGCCATCGTCCTCGGCGTCCTTGGCGCGCTCGTGTACCTCTCGATTGCGCATTTGCTCGAGCGCGCGGGTATCGACGACGTCGTCGACGCGATTCCCGTGCACTTGGGCTGCGGCTTTCTGGGCACGTTGGCGCCTGGCATGTTTGCGTCCCCAAGCGGCGTCAAGACGTTTTACGGCAGCAACCGGACCAACTGCGGCTTCTTTTACACCTGCGAAGGCGGCGGCGGCAAGCAGTTTGGCGCGCAGATCGTGTACGCGCTCGCTGTCTTTGCTTTCGTCGGTGTCTGCGTGAGCCTTGTCTTTGGCAGCATGAAGGCCATCGGGTGCCTCCGCGTCTTGGCCGAAGCCGAGCGCATGGGCATGGACGCGTTCGAGCACGGCGGGTCGGCGTACGATGATGGCGAAATCGACGAGCACACCAACAAGGAGAGCTACAACAACTCGCTGCAGAGCCCGGTCGCGCGTCGCGACGTTGTTTAGGTTTAAGCTGCTTTTTATTGGAATAATCCATCTGAAGTGGACAGTTTTGTCTGTAAAATGCAGTAAAAATGTTGGAATCACAAGTCGTGTTCCTATTGGTTTCTGTGCTGTAGCATCAATGGATAAATGAGTGTCATCGTGTTTGTTTCGATGCACTTTGCGTTGGTGCTATAAGGGTCGTATACTTTTACAGGACTTTTATGAGGATGGATCGTCTCCTGCGCTGTCACGCCACAGGCCATAGTACCGGGTACCCGGTAAGCTTATAGCGCGACGCTTGCAGACGTGGTGGTCGATTGATGACGGTATGTAGTGCGCACACCGTGGGTCGTCAAGCAGCCAAAATATCCCTCCCAGCCCTTCACAACATAGTTCGGGGTCCTTCCAGCGATGGACAATGTGGAGTTATACGGAAAGGCTTGCGGCCAAGCGTCGCTTCCTACTTGATGGCCAGTGACGCGACAAGCGTGGGATATAAAGCGAGTTGCGTTCGATCCGCAGCGTGTATTACCTGTGCATACGATGAGCTGGAGCACGGTGATCATCGAAGGCAAAGCCCTAAGCCCGTTGTGCAGAAAGCTACAGGTACGAACTAGCGCTCTCGCATCGCCTCTCGAACACACGTGTACCCTCGATTTGTCAACACGTCGCATGTAGCATACATCACCCTTTGTATAATTATTTGTTAAGACGCCTACAGAGCGGTCTGCTGCTGCTGACGGAGGAGCTCGACGATAAAGGCCAGCTTGGCGTCGACATCCTGGACCTTGGCGTCCATGCTGGCCACCTGAGCGAGTAGCGTCGCGGCTTCGAGCGTGGCCTTGGACGGCAACACCGTGCGCTCGGTCGACGGTGCCGTGGCGGCAAATGCTTGAAGCTTCTTGATCGCCTTTTCGCCTTGGAGGTCCGTGACGCTGATGGCTTGGGCGATCTGCTTGGCCGTCCAGACCGTCGTGCCGTTGACGTCTTGGTTCAAAATGGTCTCGAGGCGACCGAGGAGGTCGGGGCGCTGCAGAATGTAAATCGAAAGCACATCGTGGAGCACGACAATAAACTCGGTGATGAACGACCGCTTCCCTTCGTTGGTCGTGACGACATCTTCGTGCGCTGCAATGATGACCGCGAGCATGATGTTGATCAAGACGAGCGTAATGATCGACTGCGATGCCCAGTACCATAGAATCGCGAGGTCGTTGTAGTCCTTGATCATGTCGTAGCTGTAGCCACCGAAAAGCATGTTGATGCACGTCACCATCGACTTGTGCAAGCTCGAGAACTCATCGAGCTGCGGGCCAAAGAGGAGGCACCCGGACGTTGCGAGCGCCATGACAACCAAGAGGAAGATGAAGAGGAACGCGCCGAGGCGCTTGAGACTGGCCACGATCGTGTTGGTCAAAATGTTCATGGTCGGGTGAAACTGGAAGGCTGCGAGCACACTATACAAAAGGCACGATAAGACACCATCTCCACAAACCAAAAACGAAGAAAATAAACGTACTGGACCACGAGCTGGAGGCACGTGACGATCGAAATGACGTACAAAAACTGGATCGACGGACCAAACGTGTCGATAAAGTCCGAGACGTCCGGCTGGTTGCTCTTGCCCATCTGAATGCGCTGCTCGGCGAGCGGCAGCTTGTACAAGTCGTCGTAAAACGTCGTCAACTTGGCCAGCTCGTCCTCAAAATGGGACGCAAAGAACTTTTGGCAAATCTGGATCCACGCTGCGTAGTACAAGCCGACGCAGAGGATCGAGCACCACTCGATGAACGTCGTGCGCGCGTCGCAGTGCCATGCGACTTGACGGAAAATCTGGCGCTTGATCGTGAGGAGGCGGCGGCCGAGCACGGCGAGGACAAAGATGCCGACGATGATGTCGAGGATCATGTTGATGATCGACGTCGAGTACGGGTTGGTCGGGACGCTCTGCACCGAGTACGTGGGCGTGTACGCGCCGCCCTCTTCAACGTGGATCTGAAAGTGGAGGTACGAGAACATGTCGAGCTCGCCGTTGTACGTGGTGATCTTGACGTGGAACTCGCGCGTTGCCATCGAGAGAAAGTAGCCGCCAGCGCTGCCTTCGTCGACCCAGCGCTTAAAGCGCGCGTACGGGTCCGGGTGGGCGGTCGGGATGTACATGGTGTACCACGGCTGGCGCCGCAGGTTGCGCGTCGCGAGGTCGCCTTCCTTGATGTCGGCTTCCAGATGAAAATCAAAGCACGGCCCGTAGCGCTTGGCGAGGAGCGAGTCGCTCTCGCACTTGGTCATGCGTGTGTTGAAGATGGAAAACTCGACCGCGCCGACGAGCTGGTTGTACATGCTGATGCGTCCTTGGAGCTCGGGGGCCAAGATCGTCCCTAGTGAGAGAAAAGAGGTAGGAATTGGTCGCAAACGAGAGCCGTGTACCGTTGACTGCAGTTTTCGTAAAGACGGACGGCAGCACCGAGTTGTTGATCCACTTTGGAATGTCGTCCATGGTCCGAATCTTCATGAAATTGACAATGGTCTTGGACTGCACAACATCCTATTACCACAAAAATAAGTTGGCGAAGCACAAGTGGACACCATCGTACCGAGGCCTTGGGGTTGAGCGCCGACGAGACGCCGTGGTCGGCCAAGTACACTTGGTGGATCGGCGTGTGCGTCAGCACCATCGCGATAAATGCAAAGAAAAGCAAGCACGGCACGGGCACGTTGACGAAGTGGCGGCGCAGATCGTGGCGCGCTTGGAGACCGATCCGTGCTCGCTGCGTCGAGATGCTCACAGTCTCTGGCTCGAGCATTGCGAGTGGCGTCTCGGCCGTTTCCAAGTCCTGCGCCCCCAGACCCCAGGGTGGGCCACGGGGCTGCTCTCTTGCACGTAGTGCGTGCTAAAGCTCTTCATCGATGTGGAGCCAAAGGAAAAGTGGGCGATACTACCATATAAGTATAACAAGTGAAGCGCGAGCGAGGCGACATGTGCTTTTCGGCGCCAGAGGCTCCCAACGGCAAAGTCGCCGACAACCTCATCACGCGCGACTCGTCGTGCGCATTTGGATTGGTCGACAGAAAATAGAATACAAAAAGTCGCGTTCTGATTGGATAAAAAGAATTTCGAAGCCAATACATGTCGCCCACTGTGGTCGGCCCGAGCGTCGCACACTCACGTCCACAAACAAGAGATGGTTGGTCACGCGCCAATTCTTGAAGCTGGATAGGGAGAAGCCACGCTGGAACACGCTGTCATCCATCGCAACCCAAGTGGGAACTGCACATCGAACTTTTTTTTCGACTGTTGCAAGTTGTCGTGGTAGAGTACCAACCACTTGGCTCTATGCTCTCCCGTTGCCACGGCTCGTCACGATCCCATTGCAAACAGACGACTGCGTGGGACGGTGAAAGTTTCGGATCCTGACGCTATCGAATGAGGTCATCACGTGTCTGTGTTGCTCGTGCATGTCGTCATGCACACGAGTCGGCACGCACTGTTTGTAGCTCCCTGGTCACAATAAAAGAATTTATTGCAAACCGAGAGGCCCATTCTCTCAAAATTCATGCTTGGTAACATGCAGCAGCAGTTCAAAACGCTGGCAGTGGCAGCATTGGCTGGCAGTGGCCGGTTGGCTCGAACGCCGAGCACCCACTGCGATTGCACAGTCTTTGTCCCCACCTAAGATTGGAGTGGGATGCTCTTACAACCCAGCGGCGTGGGTTGCCAGAACCATAATGCAACTCTCAAAGTGGAATATTCAATTCAAGCTCACATGTGACAAGGATTTTTGGCTGGATTTGGGTGACGCCATTCCAAGGGCACCTGGTGCCTTAGGCGGCGCGGCTTGCCGTGTCGCCCGCAGGGCCATGGCGCGCT